GGAAGGAGGGTCTCATCCAGCAGGGTCTTGTTATATTCTTAATGAACTCCCATCATCCCTGACCTTTGGCCATGCTGGTTGGCACTGATGGCAGTTGGAGTCTAACAACATCAGGAGGGCATTGAGTTGACAAGTCATACTGGCATGCAGTATGCCACACAATGCAGCCACCTATCCCAGCCACCTAACCGACCAGAAGTCCCACATTTGTTTTTTGTTTAAAAAATGGCTCCCAACACACGAGGCCCAGCACACAAGTCAGCATTTATGGGGCAGGATTAGCTCATGTGTTCCCATTAGTCCAGTACACATGCATACAAAAAAATGCATGAATAAGGCTTTACTTAGGAAACAAGTCCCATTTTAATGGATGAGGGTTGTCATTGTCCCCCACCCCTCCAGCAATGCCTTTTGAGCAATACCATATTATGATGCATGGACACTCCAAATGAGGCAGAGGGTGAGGGACATGAAAGCAAGAAACTGGGTGGAGGAAAGCTACATTCAACTCTATGTTTCCCAGCAAACTCCACCCCAAAAAAAGACAATGCCATATTAGAAACAACCGTCTTCTTTCTCTTATGCAAAGAATGGATTTTATCTTCAAGCTGGAGCACACACATGGCTCACCTGAAACCTTATGCTTATGTTAATCCTACTCAGACTAGATCTACTGGAAATAATGGGCATGGATTGCATAGGCTCCTTAATTTCAATGAATCTTCTCTGAGTAAAACTAAGTTGGCCTCAACCCAAAGAAAGGGTGATGTTATTCTTCAATTATGTTGTTTTCTTCATGTACAAATTTATAAGTGGCATTGGTCAAATAACCAATGGACTAAGATTTCTGCATTCAGGTGATGGTGGCCCTGAAAAGTTCAGTTCCCTTAATGCTCTTTCTCCTCCTCCCACTCCCAGCCATCTTTTTACAGAGGTCTGGCAGGATCCCAGGTAACCCTGAGCAGCTTGGTGAACCAAAGCCGTGTCATGCTGGAGGAGCAAGCACGTCATCTCCTGAATGAACCTGAGCGATCCACCATGGGCTATTACCTGGATGAGTACAAGGAGAACAACATTCCAGTCGATGCCCTTGTCATGGCTCTATTTGAACTGCTCAACACTCATGCCAAGGTTAGATGGGAGAGGTCCAGTCGCGAGGGTTGGGGTGGAATAATGAGTTAATCAGGGTTCTGGTAGGGATTTCCAGCTTTTTCTTGACTTTCTGCTATGAGTGTTTACACACTGCATTGAGCAATGGGATACAGGGTTTGCTTGCATCCATTGGTTCCAACAAAACTTGCATCTGCTTGCATCCTCAGCTCATATCCGCTCACAGATTCCATCCATGCAATCAGGAATCCTTGTGAATAGTCAGGGTCCCTGATTGTGCTTATACAGTTTATTCTCAGACAGTTGGCATAGACATAGGTTCAGTGTGTGAAATGAACATAGTGGTGGGCTATAGGCTTACAACTACCCTCCCCCCATGTATTCAGTCTAACATGGGATCAACCCTCCTATGCCCACACAATCAAGACAGAGCATAAGAAAGGAGTGAGGAGGTTCCTGCTATGCATGCAGAAAACCAACTGTGTAGATGGTCCTAGGACACAGCTCTGGATAAATTATTCAGTGGAAATAGCATTGTCAATGTCTTTATATCTGATAAGGTGCTCCTGTGTAGTCTGTTGCTGCTGGACAGGCAGAAATGGAGATGGCCAATGATATTAGCTGCATGGTTGGAAGCAGGAACCCATTGATCTAGTTTGCTGCTGCCCCATGTGGTGAGCTAGTGGAATTGCACTGCAGAGCATTTCCTAGGTCAGGGGTCAGCAAGCCTTTTCAGCAGGGGGCTGGTCCACTGTCCCTCAGACCCTGTTGGGGGCTGGACTATATTTTGAAGGGGGGGGGAATGAACGAATTCCTATGCCCCACAAATAACCCAGAGATGCATTTTAAATAAAAGTACACATTCTACACCAGGCAGGCCCCACAAATAACCCAGAGATGCATTTTTAATAAAAGGACACATTCTACACCAGGCAGGCCCCACAAATAACCCAGAGATGCATTTTAAATAAAAGGACACGTTCTACTCATGTAAAAACACGCTGATTCCTGGACCATCCTCCAGCTGGTTTGACAAGGCAATTGGGCCGGATCCAGCCCCCGGGCCTTAGTTTGCCTACCCATAGCCTAGGTCCTAGACCAGTGATGGTCAAACTTGGCCCTCCAGCTGTTTAGGGACTACAATTCCCATAATCCCTGACCACTGGTCCTGTTAGCTAGGGATGATGGGAGTTGTAGTCCCAAAACAGCTGGAGGGCCAAGTTTGGCCATCACTGCCCTAGGCAGTAGCTACATGAGTGACCCTACCAATCCTGGCTACCCATTGGTTCTCCCTGAACCAGAAGGGTTATGAAGGCTTACAGATGAAGCTGAAACTTTTTCTGAGCAACAGCACTTTCTGCCCTGTGTTGGGTACTTTCTACCTATTACCTTATCTCTAAGCCTGCTAAAGGTCTTCACTTGTTTTGTGTTTTGTTTTGTTTTGTTTGCCTGTTCAATCAGCATTTAAAGGACAGAGGAGCACTGCCAGAACTAAACTGGACAACTCTAAACAAATGGGTTAAGCCTAAGCAAGTTTTGATTTAATGCTCTGCTTAGGGATGGGTGGTAGAAGAGAGAATTTCAGTCCAGCTTGCATTTAAAGGCAAGCATACCTAATTTGCTCTTTATGAAATGTTATGCAAACTGAAAACATAGCTGTCCTTTGAAATTCACACTTCTCCAAATCTGGCAAGGCAGTTTTCCAGCCAAGTAATGTTTACAAAAATACATCAAAATGCAGATGTAGCAGAAAATAACATACAAAAGTACAGTATTTTAGGGGAAATTGCCTGCAAAAATGTGTATATTAGGAAAAAATTAGCCCTAAAATGTTGATGAATAATTTTCATGAGGATATATATATATATATATATATATATATATATATATATATATATATATAAAATACAAACTCATATGGAAATGTAGAACACTGAAATTAAGATTGGAAAAATAACAATCAAACAGATGCACCCAACCCTCCCTACCATGGGTCCACAAGTTGCTTGGAGTGAACAGCCAGTAGAGTGGTTATCTGACCTTTACATACTTGTATTCTCTATTTGAAGAAGTTATCTAGCCCAGGTATGGGGAACATTTTCCAGCCTGAGGAGTGAATTCACTGATGGGAAACCTTTCAGGTTCCATGTTCCATTGATGGACGTGGCCAAAGGATTAAGTCAATGGAGCAATGGATGTGATTCATATTTTGACCAGTGGACTACCTTTCAACCACAGAAAAGTCAGAAGTATCTATACACATGCACTCCTCTCTCAACCCTGGCAAATGAGAGGCATTAACAGAATTCAGGGACACATTCCAAACAGGCATAGTTCTTGAGGAGGATGTGAGGCAGAGTCAGTGAGAGGTATGGCATGGTGAGAGTACTGAGGGCCAGATAGAGAGGACTGAAGAGCCACTTTTGGCTCCTGGGCCTGAGGTTGCCCACCCATGTTATAGCAAATCAATCAATTATTTATTGTGCTTCACTAAAGGCTATTATAAATTCAATTACAGATCCAGCAAGTCAATTAAAACCTGTTAAAAGAAATCCAGAGATATGGATTTACAGTCAGTCACATTAATGAATTGCCTGCACAGTCTACAGCATTGTCTTTATATAGCTAGCATGAATACTTTTAGCAGCTTTAGCAAATAGGGCTGTTTTGTATGTGACAAACAGATCACAGTCAGATAATAGCCAACATATTTTCACTTCGGGGTTCTGTCCCTGTAGTGGTGCCAGCATCTGTTCCAAAAAACTATTTCTGGGGTTTTGATAGAGCTAACAATGGAGTATATAATGGGGGAGATCTTCTACTTCACCTACCCCACAGTTACAAAGTCTTAAATGCATTTTAGTACAAAGTCTTAAACATTTTTATATCTTCCATCTAAGGCATTGTTTGAAAACGGAGAGCTGTAAATGCAGTTCTCAGGAAGGCAAAAGTAAGTGACTGCAAGTATTGATCTCTGGTGTGGTTAGATTTCAGCAAATAGTACCAATGGGAGAATTTTGAGATGGGGTAGAGATAAATCTTGCTTGTTATTCTGTTTATGAATCCAGTCCCTGAGCAATCATTTAACCCCAGGGATTACAAAAATATCTGTTGTACACGTCTTGTACTAACTTGGCCCAAACACCCTTCTTCCATTGTTCCTCCAGGCAGAGTCTAGGCAAGTGGTCCTCTGGCATATCCAGGACTCTTTTATAGTACAAAAAAGCAGCCATCTCTGCCCTAGCTTTTACAAACATGACAGCTGTCTCTGTGCTAAGGAAGGCATCTGGGGTATCTGGAGGTACCTTAGGAAGCTCCAGCAGATACCTTAAGAACTTATTCTGGCACACTTCCAGGTCTTTCAGGTTATTATGTTTGATCCCCCATATCACAATACCATACCGCATTTGAGCAGTAAGAGGTATGGCCTGCTGAGATTACTGAGGGCCTGAAAGAGAGAACTGAAGAGCCACTTTTGGCTCCTGGGCCTGAGGTTGCCCACCCATATTATAGCAAGCCATGTGACAATGCTCTCTTCTTTCTTTGCAGTTCTCACTCTTGTCAGAGGTCAGGGGAGTCATATCTCCTCAGGATCTTGACCGCTTCGACAATCTGGTCCTGAAGAGGGAGATTGAATTCATGAAGGCCCGGCAGCCCTCGGGGACAGGAACGGACTCCTACTCCTTGATGTCCTGCAGTGACACAGTGTCTTCCACTGGGAGTCATTTCACTTCTACCACAGTCAGTTCAGCTCGGGTAAGTACCCTCTCCTCTCCTTCAGTGGTCTGATATGTCCATGGTTGAACATTTTCGTGTCCTATCCCCTTTTAGTTAACAAGATATAGCTGAAACTCAAACTAAACATTACATATATGTAAATGTGTCTTTGAAGGTGGCCTGTAACTCAGTGGTAGAGCATCTGTTTTGCAAGTAGAAAGTCCCAGGTACATTTCCTGGCACATCCAGATAGGGTTGGGAATGTTCCCAGTCTGAAACCCTGAAGAGCTTCTGCCAGTCAGTGTAAATAGGGCTGAGTTAGGTGGACCAATAGGTGAACTCAGGCAGTGGGGTCTCCAGTCAATGACTAACAAAGCCCTACTATAAAACTTGGCTAGTTGCTCCAGGACTTTGCTGAGACAACTTGGATGGTTGACATCAGTTACAGAAGCACTGTTCATTGTCCTGAACCTGAGAAACATCGATCTCCTTTCAAAGTACCTTTGCCTTTGGAACCAGAAACTACCGACCTCTCTGTATAAGATGGCTTCTTATGTCTTCAGGCTGTTGTTTATTAAAACACAAATTGCCAGCACAAGATGCCAAATCTAGACTGGTATCTTAGTAAGAGGGAGAGCACTGGAAGTTTTAATCTTTTGCTCCAGTTCCAGATTGTAGGCCCTGTGCATGCAATTTCCAGGGGGGAGATGCAAGCTCCAACTAATAAAAATCAGATATCGCAAGCCCCACTCCCATACAGGATAAAACAACCTTACATTTAAAGGCACAGGTAGGTATCGTCTCCATCTGATTTGACTTTATGACATCATCACATAGCCAAACGTGATGCAGTGGTGGCCACCAACATGGATGGTTTTAAAGGGGAGTTAGACAAATTTATGGAGGAGAAGGCTATCTAGGCTACTTGTCAATAAGAGTGTGCTCTACCTCCACCGTCAGAGGCACTCTGCCTCTGAATACCACTTGTGGGGAATCTCATGTGTGGAGAATGCTGTTGGGCTCAGGACCTGCCTGCAGGCTTCCCTTTGGGAAATCTGGCTCGCCTCTGTGAGAAGGAGATGCTGGACTTGATGGGCCTTTGGCCTGATCCAGCAAGGCTCTTCTTGCCTCCTTAGGTACTAGCGAGTCTTTTCTCCCTGACTTCTGCATGTTAAAACTACACTTTGCCGCTTTCTGTAGGGCTATGTGGGGAAACATAGCCTTATGCATGCTCAGCTGACCTCTTCACCTCTCCCCTCTTGCCAACCTTCCCCGCGCCTCAGTGTCATTGTTATATAACATCTCAGAGACCTCGTCACATACACAACGTCTAATTAAGTTAGCATAATCACCTCTAAGCATGCAGCCTCACCGCCACAAAATTAATTTGCTGGCCATAAAACACCTTTTCATCATAAACGCATTAGCAGCCTTGGGAAATTGAAAACCTCTTTTAATAAATGGAGCTGATGATTCTGGTAATTCAAAGGCAGGCATTGCCCAGGGGTGGAGGCTGGAGGAGGCTGGGAGCGTTGCCTGGGGATGGAATAGGAAACCACACCGCTGTGCTTTTTGAGGGCTAATTCTAGAAATATTATTAATTAATTTCTTCTTGTTGTTGTTATACAGTTGATATGCCAACATGGCTTCTAAGCAGCTTACAGCTTTACAATACTAATGATATCCTTTCCTTTGTTCTGCCCTCACTCTGATTATTTAGAATAGGAGTGAGTGTGGCATCTTAGGCCCCAGGGGGTCACCTGTGGCCCTTGAGCTTTCTCTAGCTGAGGTCATGCAGCTCACCGGCCTTATTCTGTACCCTCCTTGAGTGTTTTTGCCTGCCTGTAATCTGTCCTCTGATTATTCTTCCTGCTTGACTGGATGTGTGGGTATAGAAACTAGCCTACTGGTAAAAAAGGTAAAATTTGCATTCAGTTCTCCTCCCACTTTTGCCTCTGGTACTGCCCAGCATTGGCATGTGGTCCCTGCAAAGTTGCACAGAAGGGAACGCCATGCTGGGTTGCTAACTGGTGCAGCAAAATGGGAGAGTGACACTCTGCTCTTTAAAGCACTGTGCTGGCTGCCCGTAAGCAGCCAGGCCTGGTTCAAGGTGTTCATAATTCCCTAAATGGCCCGTAGCCAGTGGAGGCTGGTTCATGAGGGAAAATGGGGCACTGGCCAACCAACCTCAACCATTCCCAGCCTGTCTGTTTTCTTACTTTTCCACCTCCGGCGTATTAAGCAGTTGGTCCCTTACCTTTCTCGCCCTGATCTGGCCACAGTGATCCATGCGATGGTCACCTCCAGACTGGATTATTGTAACTCGCTCTACGCGGGGCTGCCCTTGAAGCTGACCCAGAAACTCCAGCAGGTGCAGAATGCTGCGGCGAGGCTCCTTATGGGGTCCTTGCCGTGGGATCACATTCATCCAGTGCTTTACCAACTGCACTGGCTCGGTGGAGTACAGGGTCAGGTTTAAGGTGCTGGTTTTGACCTTTAAAGCCCTGTGCGGCCTAGGACCCTTGTACCTACGGGACCGCTTCTCCTGGTATGCCCCATGGAGGACCTTAAGGTCCACAAATGACAAGACTTTGGAGGTCCCAAGTCACAAGATGGTTAGATTGGTCTCAACTAGGGCCAGGGCCTTTTCAGTACTGGCCCCGACTTGGTGGAACGCTCTGTCACAAGAGACTAGGGCCCTGCGGGACTTGACATCTTTCCACAGGACCTGCAAGACAGAGCTGTTCCACCTGGCCTTTGGTTTGGACTCAGTCTGACCCTTATGTTTCCCTCCCCTTATGGTGTTGATTTATCGGCTACTTTTAAAATGAGGCTGCATTTTAAATTGCATTTTAACCTGTATTTTAAATTGTTGGGTTTTTGTTTTCTTTTCTTTTCTCCCCCCCCCCCTATGTTTTTACTGTGATTTTATTGGTGTTAGCCGTCCTAAGCCCGGCTCCGGCCGGGGAGGGTGGGGTATAAATAAAATTTTTTATTATTATTACTTTCATCCATGTAAAGTCGTGGGGGAGACTGTCAGCACCCTCCTCCTTAGCATCAGTGCTGCCCTACGTAGAAGCAGGGAGCAGGATGGGGTCAAAGCTAGAATTAGTTGTCTCTGTCATTAGCTCTGGCGCCACCTGCTGTTCCAATGGGCACCAGCCAGCACTGCCCTAAGCCTAAATTCTCTCCAGTAGCAGCCAGCTCTGTTCTTAAGAGAGTAAACTATGCTGCGATCCTTGGATGAAGGGCAGTATAGATATATAATAAATAATAATAAGATCAGCAAAGAAGGGGTGGATCTTAAAACTAGGATTTGCAGCAATAGCATGCACCGAAGGGCCTTCTGCATCAAATCACAGAATTGTACAGTTGTAGGGCCAACAAGTACAACCCCTCCACACACTGTGGTGCACATTAGGGGCTACAGCTGTTTAAACAGTTTGACATGAGGGCTGTAGCTCAGCAATAGAACACCAGCTTTGCATTCAGAAGGTCGCAGGTTCAGTCCTCAGGATCTCCAGGGAGGACTGGGAGAGGATCCTTGTCTAACGCCCTGAACAGTAAAGTGAGGGTTTGTATTTATAATTGTTGTTAATTTTCTGCATGCTTTAATTTTGGGTTTGTTCCCCCTCCATCTCTTTATGCATTATTTTTCTTTTGTCATGCATCACTCTGTTCTCCGTTGGAGGACAAATGTTTCGTAACAACAATAATGTCAAATCACAGTTAAAAACAACAAAACCCAGAAATGCAAAAGCAGCACTTAAAGCAGTTTTTAAATGGATACTGGGAAATATACACCATTGTTCAATCCTCTTTTTTCAAGAGCTCAGCTGTTACCATGGGTGTGTTTGAACACTGAACCTGAAGGATATATTGTTTGCTTATTTTACCCTCCTTCTAACATATTTCTCTTCTCCTATCCATTGTTTTATCTTTTTTAAAATGGCCCCACCAGGAGCGACTCTTGTGGCTTATTGACCTCATGGAGGTAAGCAACTCCTAATGGGTGCTGGCTGGGGTTTGGTTCCTGTTAACAAGTCACAGGGGAATTGAGCTGGGTGGGACTTAGCCAAAGTACCTGCTTTTTCCAGCCTGAGGGCTACATTCCCATCTGGGCTGCCTTCTGGGGTCACATGCCAGAGGTGGGCAAAGTAAGAGGCGAAAGGAAGTGGAGCAACAAATAAAACTTTTTACCTTTGCACAAGTCTAGTTTCTACACACGGTCTACCTGGGCAAGCAGGAGACATCATCGGAGTTCGAGGACACCTTCCTGCCAGGCATGAATACTCTAAGGAGGGTGTGATGCTGGGCCACTGAGGGGTATTTCCTGGGGAGAGGAGTAGTGGCATGGGGAAAGTCCTAAGGGCCAAATAGAGATGTTTGGAAGGCTGCAGTCAGCTCCTGTTGCCCCTCAACTCTGTACCAAAATCATTTTTTCTTTTCTTTTCTTTTTTTTTAAATACTTTTATTTTGCTTTAAAAAAATACAGATAAATATAAACAATCAAAATTACAAAAGAAAAATCCTTAATAATAATAATAATAATAATGAAAAAAGCTAAAAAACTACAAAAAAATATCAAAGTAAATGGCATAGAACATAAGCCATTATGGGAAAGAAAAAGGAAAAAAGAAAAAGGAAAGGAGGAGGAGGAGGAGAAAAAAATGAAAAGAAAAGAAAAGAAAAAGGGGGGGAGGAAAAAAGAAAAAAAGACGCTTCCGTCAAGGTCACAACAGATCATTATTCTTATCAATTCTCTCTATCTGCATTCCATAGAATCCCTCATCTTGGTATCAGGGAACATTTCCCTATGCAGTATCATTCTAAACGTAACCGGGTCTTTCTTGATGAACCCTTATCTCCTAGATAATTATTTAAACATTCCCAAAATCATTTCAGTCGGTGGTTCCCAAACTCTTTTGGGCCGCCATCCCCTTATGTCAAGGGCCTTCCCCAGCCAAAGGAGTGCACCCAGCAGATATTGTCAAAGATAACACATACAGTCACTTCTACAGCTCTGGATACCTACACACCAATCTTGCGGCTAGGCCGCTGTTCCCAGGTCCACACTCTATGGAGCAGCTGTAGCAACTGGGGGCCAGTCTTTCTCTACCTGTTTATGTAAAGGCTGTGTGCACATAGTCGGAGAATGCACCTGTGTGGCAACTTCCTCTGCTCATCCCTTTTCAATCCCCTCCTGGTTCTGGAAGACAGCAGTTCAGGAGAGGGTGAGAAAGCACCC